TGTCTGCATTTCATCTGGACCCCAAATATCTCTGGGGACACGCTCCCCTGTCCTTCTCTAACTTCACCCTGGACCCAGCATGGGGAGGGGACACTGCAGGTTTGCTGGGAGGATTGAAGGAGACACTGTCCCGTAGGTGAAACATTTATTTAGTCCAGTGTCCCGCAGAGAGCGAGCACTCAAGGCATGGCAGCTGCTGCTGCCTGGGGTTTTTTCTTCCTTTTTTTTTTTTTTAAATATATAATTTGCATACCATAAAATCTACATTTTTTTAGCGTACATGCAATTCAGTGGTTTTGAATATATTCACAAAGTTATGCAACCAGAATTCCAGAACATTGTTCATCATCCCAAAAGAAATGTACCCATTTGCAGTCACTCTCTATTCCCACTGCCCCCAAGCCCCTGGCAACCACCAGCCTCCCTTCTGTCTCTATGGATTTGCCTATTCTGGTCATTGCAGATAAATGAAGTCATATAGTATGTGGCTTTTGTGACTGGCTTCCTTCACTTAGCAGAATGTTTTCAAAGTTCATCAATGTTGTGGCATGAATCAGTGCTTCATTCCGTCTTATGACTGAATAGTGTTCCATTGTATGGATAGATCACATTTTATTTACCCACTCATCAGTTGGTGGACGTTTGGGTTGTTGCCACTTTTTTGCTCTTTTGAGTAATGCTGCTGTGAACATTCTTGACAGGTTTTTGTGTGGACACATGTTTCCATTCTCTTGGTTCTATTTCCAGGAGTGGATTGCTGGGTCATGCTGGAACTCTATGTTTGAGGAACTGCCAGACTGTTTCCCAAACAGCGGTACCGATTTACATTCCTAGTAGTAGTGTCAGAACACTTGTTATTATCTGTCTTTTGGGTTATAGTCATCCTAATAGGAGTGAAGTCATAGCTCATTGTGGCTTTTTTTTTGTGTGTGTGAGGAAGATTAGCCCTGAGCTAACATCCGATGCCAATCCTCCTCTTTTTGCTGAGGAAGATTGGCCCTGGGCTAACATCCGTGCCCATCTTCCTCTACTTTATATGGGACGCCGCCACAGCGTGGCTTGACAAGCAGTGTGTTGGTGCGCGCCCGGGATCCAAACCTGCGAACCCCGGGCTGCCGAAGCGGAGCGCAAGCCCTTAACCGCTGCGCCATCGGGCCAGCCCCACATTGTGGCTTTCATTTGCATTTGCCTGATGGCTAGTGATGTTGAGCGTCGTTTTCACGTGCTTGTTGGCCATTTGTATGTCTTATTTTGACAAGTGTCTTTTCAGATCCTTTGCCCATTTTTAAATTGGGTTGTCTTTTTATTGTTTCGTTGTTAATAGTTCTTTATATACGTTGGATACTAGACCCTTATCAGATGGATAATTTGCAAATATTTTCCTCATTCTGTGGGTTGTCTTTTCACTTTCTTGATAGTGTCCTTTGAAGCACAAAAGTCTTGAATTTTGATGATGTCAAATGTATCTATTTTTACTTTGGTTGCTTGTGTTGTTAGTGTCTATCTAAGAAACTGTTGCCTAATCCAAGGTCATGAAGATTTACACCTATGTTTTCTTTTAAGAGTTTTATGGTTTTAGCTCTTATATTTAGATCATGACCCATTTTGAATCTATTTTTGTATATGGCGAGAGGTGGGGCTGCAACCTCATTCTTTTGCGTGTGGATGTCCAGTTGTCCTAGTACCGTTTGTTGAAAAGAATATTTTTCCTCTTGTCTTGGCACCCTTGTAAAAAAATCAATTGATTTGAGATGTATGAGTCTATTTCTGGACTCGCAGTTCTCTTCTGTTGATCTGTATGTCTGTCCCTTTGCCAGGACCGCACTGTCTTGATTACTGTTGCTTAGTAGTAAGTTTTGAAATTGGGAAGTGTGAGTCCTCCAATACTGTTCTTTTTCAAGATTGTTTTGACTGTCTGGGTCCTTTGCATTTTCATATGAATTTTAGGATCGGCACGCTGGGATTTTGATGAGGATTGTGTTGAATCTGTAGACCAGTGTGGGAGTGTTGCCAGCTTAATAATATTAAATCTCCTGTCCTTGAACATAGCATGCCTTTCCATTTATTGAGGTCTTCTTTAATGTCTTTCAACGATATTTTGTAGTTTTTAGCATTTACGTCTTTGTTACATTTATTTCTAAGTGCTTCATTTTTTTTGATGCTATTATAAATGGACTTTTTTTTTAATTTCACGTTCAGATTGTTCATTGCTAGGGTATAGAAATACAAATGGTTTTTGTAGTTTGATCTTGTATCTTGCAATCTTGTTGAACTGGTTTATTAGCTCTAGTAGTTTTTGGGTTTTTGTGTGTGTGGATTCTTTTTAGGTTTTCTATATACCAGATCCTGTCATCTGGAAATAGAGGTAGTTTTACTTCTTCTTTTGAGTCTGGGTGCCTCTTATTTCATTGTCTTGCCTAATTGCTTGGCTAGAACCTCCAGTACAGTTCTGAATAGAAGTGGCCACAACAGACATCCTTGTCGTGTTCCTAATCTTAGGGGAAGGCATCCAGTCTTTCATCATTAAGTGTGATGTTAGCTGTGGGTTTTCGTAGATTCCCTTCATCAGGTTGAGGAAGTTCCTTTCTGTTCCTGGTTTGTTGCCTGTTTTTATCATGAAAGGACACTGGATTTTGTCAGATGCTTTTTCTGTGTCTCTTGATAGGATCGTGTGGTTTTTGTCTCTGCTAATATGGAGTGGGCACTTTTTCTACTAGGGAGGCCGTGGTCAATAGCGTGGACTCAGGAGCCAGCTGCCCAGGTATGAGCCCTCCAGCTGCACTGCTCACTCACTGTGTAGCTCTGGGCAGGGGACTTCACCTATCCAGGCCCCATTTCCCTCATCTGTAAAATGGGGGTGACAGTGCTTCCTCATGGGGTTCTTGTGAGGGTGAATGAATTCCTTCATAGGCTGTGTGAAACAGTGTCTGGTGCATAGCAAGTGCAGTTTATTGAGATGTTGGCTATTAACAGTAACATCATGTGAAAGTTTTGATGGGCTGGGGTGTGAGGGGGCGTTGAGCGGGGCATTGCAAGGCAAATCTAAAAGCCAGGCTGATTCGCCTGCTCTGAAAATCTGGTAGTGGGAGTCTGGAGGCTCGTTCATGAGGTGGCCTGTTTGACTCCAGCAGTTTCTAAATCTTCCTGTGGGAGGGGTGGGCCAAGGGCGAGGCCCCGGCCAGGCCCTGTGAGCATCCTTCAGTGTGGTCAGGCCTTGAGCATCACATCCCTTTTGGGCTGGGCTGCAGGGGCTGTGTGTTCACAGGAACGAGCCTTTGTGTAGACTGTGTCCTCCCGCCACAGTCATGGAAGGGCCTGCCGGCCCCTCACCGCCGCTCCTGCCCCGGCTCTGACTCTGGGCCGGGGGTGCAGAAAAGAGGCCTTGTTGAGATGATGGTTTACAGCCGAGGACCAGGAGTCGCCCCCTGCTGCCCACTCTGATTCTCCTGACTTCCCTTTTCCTGGCCTGCCCTGTGAGCCTGGCCCCTGTCCTGGCTCTGTCGTTGACCGTCACGTGACCTCGGGCAAGACTGCCTCTTGGGGCCTGTCTCTGCATCCGTCCATGGAGACACCATCACAGCACTTGGAGGATTTAATGAGTGCTCTGTGCGGAGGGCCTGCAGCGCCTCCTCCAGACCACCCTCCCAGGGTCCCCAAGAAGCTCTACAACCCCTGAAATCTGCCAACACTCTTGGCCTACTTGGAGTTTGGACTCTGCAGGTGGTGGTGGGGGAGATTAAGACGTTTTTAATAAGCTCTGTGTAATTCTTGGCATTCTTTTTTATGAGCTTTATGAGGCTGGATCCTACCTTGGTTTAATGTGCTGACTTCCCAGCCAGCCAAGTAGCTAGAAGCTCTTGGAGCCAAGTCGCTCGCTTGTTTGGTGTCCAAGTTTGTGGGTGGGAGCCGCCCCCACCCCACTAACACTCAGCCTTTCCAGGCCCCTGTGCCTAGAAGTACAGGGTGGTCCCACCTCCTGAGAGCTGTTGGTCTGATCGGGGAAGGAGACTAGACACGAAGTAGTAATAACAAACCAGTAATGTAATCGAACCATCAGTAGAGAGTCGGAATGCATTTTGTTACCCCGCAAATAGTCTGTTTTGCCCTCACTTGGTGCCTGGCACCAGGAGCATCCTGATGAACACAGCAGACTCAGCTGCTGGAGCTTTTCAGAAAACCAGATATGCCTAGAACCCACTGGGTGGGCGCCCAGAGGAGGTGGGCACCCCTGCAACTGGGCTCTCAGGCGAGCCGAGATGTGGTGGGGAGAAGGCTGGAATGTGTCTGCAGGTGGCCAGAGGAGGGTGGGGAGTGTGCCTAAGAGAAGCTAGGAGGTAAGACCTAGCGGGCAGGGGCTGATTAGACGTGTCGGGAGCTCCATTTCGGTTTCCACCTTCCATTAGTGAGAGGCTGCGGGCCCTGCCGGGTAACCATGGGCATGCTCTTTAATCTCCCAACCTCGGCTCTCTCCTCGTGGGATCGCTTTGCAGACTTCAGAGGTGATGCACGCAGAGCCCATAGCACAGTGCTAGACACGTGGTGAGAGCTAAGTGTGCTCATTGTTCCTGCGATTGTTGTTAAGCCGATACAGCATGTGGGGGGAAAAGTCTTTATTGAGCCAGAAAAATGTGCATCGTTGATGGACTGAAAATTCAGGTTACAAAACAGTGTCCTGTTATAAAGCTCTGTGTGTATCTGCCTAAATAACGACTAAGGAAGTGGCGGCAGTAGTCATAACTGTGAATATGTATGGTTTTTACTTTTCTTTGGTCTTCAGGTTTTACAGTTACATATCAGTTTTGTAATTACAGAATTGTTATTAGAAAATGTAAGTAGAGAGTGTGCTGTTGTTCTCGGTGGTTCTGTGTGTGTTCACATGTGACTGCGAGTTTAGGGCATCAGATCATGAGAGCAAGGCATTGAGGGTGGCCCCCAGGGAGGTGGGTCTGTCCCGGGAAGCGGGGCTGGCATGCTGACATGGACTTCTCCTCTGTCCTCAGATGACAGGATCTGCTCACCGCCCTTCATGGAGCTCACGAGCCTCTGTGGGGATGACACCATGAGGCTCCTGGAGGAGAACGGCCTGGCGTTCCCATTCAGTGCGTACCACCCCCGGAGATTGGCGGGGTGTGCATGGGGGGCCGTGGGTGGGTGGGCTGTCCACAGCCCCCCAGCCTTAAACTTCCTGGGGTCGATGAAGGCCTTGGTTGCCCGAGAGGGCATGGCCCTGGGTCCCACCCAACCTGCACCGTGGAAATGGGTCCTCGGGTGGTATGGACAGAAGGGCTCTTGTGCCTGGCCTGGCGGTGTCCCTCCAGATCACCCTGAGTATGGGTGCTGGCCATTGTCCAGTCTGCGTGTCTCCCCAGCTCCCACCTGCCTCTTTCCCCTGCGGCTGTAGGAATTTGGGGGGTTTCTCCCTATATCTGCCAGGCCAGGCTTTGTGGGTGCATAACCTCACTAACTCCTCTCTGCTTTTCTCTCCCCCACCCACAGTTTGCAAAACCAGAGTGGCTCATGGCACCAACTCGCACGAGGTGAGTGGAAGATTTGACCGCTTGACTGCCTCCATCCCCGGCCCCCATCCTTCCAGCTCACAGTGGGGAGCCTGCAAGAGGCTCTGTGCTGGATCCCACACCTGCTGCTCCCGCTCCCTGTCCTGCTCCTGGTTGTGGCTGGTTCCTGGTACTGTCCCTCCCTTCCCCCCTCCCTTCCTTCTCTGGGCTCCACAGGGATCAAGGGGGAGAAACGCTGCGGCGGCGTTGTGCGCCTCCTCCAGTCTCGCCCATGCCTGTCCTGTCTCCAAGGCCAGGATGAGCCTGCCCCCTTGGAGCCCATGCGAGTCACGCCCCAATCTGACCTGACTGCGGCTTTCCTTCCTGTGGCCTGTCCCTATCACTCACTCCTGGGCACCTGCTCTGTCGGGCACTGGGCTGGGCCCCATGGAGCACTGTTAACTGAAAAGATCCCATCCCTGCCCACGAGGATCTGCCCGTCCTGCTGGATTGGAAGGGGTGGGAAGAGGAAAGGGCCCCCTACCTGCTGGGATGGGTTGACTCATCCACACGCTCATGCATTTTTATTCACCGGGCGGTCCTTCCTGGCCCCATCTCAGTTGTCAGTGGAAGGATACATAAGATGTGAGTCCTGCCCCGGTGTGGGAGACAGAGAGTCCCAGAGTCCCAGAGGCAGACAGCGCTGGTGAGATGTGGTGCAGGAATGAGCAGAGGAGGCCTTTTGGGGGCGAGAGGAGCAGAGGGCCAGGCAAGGGCCCCGTTGGGTCTCTGTTGCCCTCGCCATCCTTGGAAACCACACCTGGGGTGTTGCCTTCAGGCCTCCCCTGTCTGCATCATGCCCTCAGGGGCACGGCTCCCCATTAGTCACATGAGGGCACGCTGGGCCATAGACCCTAGACCACAGAGGAGGCCCCGTAGGAGAGCCTGTCCTGGGCAGCCCCACCGTCACAAATGCTCCCCAAGACCTTGTAACTAAACATGGGCGACCCCGGCAGCCACACCCTGTGGGAGATTTCTCTAGTGCTCTTTATTCCTGGCAAAGGTTTACGGGGGAGTGTCTGTAAACAGACAGTGTCCGTGTGGTGTGGTATGTGCTGTGATAGGGTCTGAGAGGCTGAGGACACCTCTCCTCTGGGCAGGAACATGGTGGGCAAGAGGTCACATCCCGCTGCAGAGGTCAGCTGTCTCCTAAGGTCGGGAGCCCCGTGGAGCCCTCCTCGTCTGGGCCTGCCTGGGCTTCTTGCCAGGGGTGTGCTCCACGCCAGGCCCCAGGAGGAAGCAGGAAGGCACCAGAGCAGCCAAAATCATGTCCCCTGGGCCCATGCTCCCCTCACCGGCACCAACACCTGCCTGCCAACCTGCCACCTGGCCTTTCCTACCTCCAAGCGGTTCCTCCGTGTGTCAGGGCCTTGGGGTGTTCAGGATGGACGGATGACAGCCGTCATTACTGTGACTGGACCAGCCTGGCGAGGAATAGGTCAGCCTGCGGGGAGGGAACCACTCCTGCTCTTCACACAAGAACTCGGGAGTCACACAGCCCGGGGACCGGGCCTGGCTCTGAGCACTGCCAGCTATGTGACTCTGGGTCGATTATCCAGCCTCTCTGAGAGTCCATCTCGCACCTGTAACGGGATGTGATGGTTGCTGTGAAGGATAAGGAGTTGCTGCATGTGCTGCCCTGGGGCCTGGCACAGGAGGCGTTTGATACGGTCTTATGAAACCAGTTGCCCAGGAGCCTGCTGGGTCACTGCAGAAGGGTGGGGTTTCTGGGTCCAGGTGAGCACCCTCCTCGGGAGGAGTCTTGACCCTCAGGTGTAGGGTCGGCGCCTTCCGGGAAGGCTCTTTCACCCCTCAGTCCAGCTGTCCAAGTCTGGCTCTAGGATGTACACACGTGCCCCTGTCTACCCCCGGTGCTCTCCCGACCCACAGTGTGCTTTTTCAGTGGGGGCTCCTCTCCTCCTGGTGGCTGTCGGGAACAGAGCCTCCGAGAATAGGATCCGGAGTGTTGGAGTCTCCCAGGAGGCTCGCGTGTGCCGTGAGCCGCCTGCCTCCTGGGAGGCTGTTAGCATCAGAGGGATGCCCCCTCTGGAGGGGCACCCTCCACGGCATCAGCTGGGGCAGGGGCAAGGCTCCTCACCTATTTCAGGGGTGCCCGGGGATGTTAGGTGCAGCAAGGACCGAGGACACCTCTGTGCATGTGATTAGTTTTAAATAGGGACATGGGGCTTTCTGATTGGGGTCCTTCCCGCACCCTAGCCTGCCCAACCCTATCCTGAATCCCCCAGCCCCTAGATCTACTGAAAGCAGGGCTAGTTTACCCAACCACTCTGTTTTTGTTTTATGTTCACAGAACTGTTTGGTTTTTTGCATTCTTTTTAAGCCAGTGCGAACACACTACTTTGCTCCACAGTGGAATACTACCCCCCCTTTTTTAAAACACTGAACGAAAACCTCAAAGCGCCCCCAAAGCCACCCCACCATAGTTGTTGATGCAGTTTTACAGGTGAGGAGAATGCAGCTTACACAGGGCAAGTCCCCTGCCTGCACTTATGCAGTGAGTGCCAGAGCTGGGATGTGAAGCCACGGCCAGCTCGCCTGCTGTCTCTTAGTCTTGTCATAAGCCTAAGGAGACATTCGCTGTGGTACACACACGCACGCACGCACGCACACACACACACGTTTCCCCATGTAGCCTGGATCTCTACTTCTGCTCCACCCAGCCGAGCACCAGGCACGCTGCGGGGGGTGGCGTTCCATGACAGATGACATGAGAGGCGGCAGCCAGTGCAGGCAGCCAGCTGTCCAGGCCCTGTTATCCTCTCCCAGCAACCCCGGGCATCTGGTGGCTCCTTCCTGGGACCCTGTGGGCTGAGGGATTAGCCATGGGCCCGGGGCAGACCCAGCCTCCTCCAAAGCCGAGAGGTTTTCTCCAGCTGCCTGTCTGCCCTCTCTCCATCAGTACCAGACCCTCTTGTTGGAGACCTTTGTCCCCAGAGGAGTCAGGGACTGGGAGCAGCATGTTACTGTTTCTCAAGCATCCATGTGGCTCACTCAGTGTGTAAGAGGGCGGGGCTGGCTGCTGGGCAGACCCAGTCCTGTTCCAGGCTCAGTCCTCTAGCAGGTGACTGAGCTCAGGGCCTCAGTCTCCTCGTCTATAAAAGGGGCATGATAATAGTCCCTCCTCAGGGGTGCGTTGTGAGGACGACACCAGGCGACTCATGTTACAGTGGTTAGAACAGGGCCTGGCGTGCTGTGAGTGCACAGAGACAGCCCTGTCATTATATAGGCTCTGACCAAGGCCTCCCAGCCCCTAATCCGTGGTCTTCTGCTTCCTGCCTGCCCCTCCTGGGTCTTTGTGGTGGAACCTCTAGGATGTCATAAGGGTTGAGTAGTACACAACCCAGAGAGTCCCATTCCTTAGACTACAGTGTGAATAGTGGAGTTGTGCAGTGCACAGCCAGCTCAACTCTACGTGGCAGGCCTGATGGTATAGGATTTCCAAACCCCCACAGCAGGAGTGAATTGATTCCCAGGTGTTCTTCTCGAGTCCCACTTCACTCACCCGGGCTTGAGACTCTTCTTGGGGAGTCCTCATGCCACTGGTCCCGGGATGGGCCTTGGTAGCGGTGCTTTGGACAGATGAGGCACCCCTCTGTCTGAGGCTGGAGGGGTGGTGGACTCTGACAGACCTTGGCCCCTTGTCTTCCCAGATGGCCATCGTGTTCAACCAGGAGGGCCTGAGTGCCATCCAGCCGCCCTGCGTGGTCCAGAATTTCATCAACCACAACGCTGTCCTGTACAAGGTATTTGTGGTCGGCGAGTCCTACACTGTGGTCCAGAGGCCCTCGCTGAAGAACTTCTCTGCGGGCACATCAGGTAACTGAGCCTTGCGCTGTCTCAGGCTGCCCTGAGCCCATGGGCATGGCTGAGACACGGCATCAGCCGTCAGTCCTTCAGCGCTAACCCTGGCCACCCCGTGTAATTTCTGGAGGGAGGAGGAGATGCTCTGAAGGTTGAAAGTTGCATACAGGAGATAAAGAGATCTTGGAGAGTTGAGTGAAAGACCCTGAACCACCAGATTGTAGGGCCTCCGTCTACCTGAACCACCATAAACTCCAGGAAGTACCCGGAAGCTTCCTGTACCCGGGTCCCTTCCTGGGGCCCTGCATAATAATGAGACTCGTGAGGAACATGCTGGAAGGGATGATGGGCCCTTCAGGGAAGGGAGGGAGGGAGGAGCCCTCATTTTGAGGGCCAGAGTTCTAACTGTCTTATCATGTCGCCTTTTTCCGTTTGGGGAAACACTGAGGTCTTGCTGCCTCTGCGGCTGCTGAGGCGAAGGCAGCATGTGAGTCACGGGGCTTCCTAGGTATGGGACCTCAGGCGGGCCAGAAGTGGGTGCAGTCACCCCCGCCGTGCCCCCTCACAGGGGTGAGGACCGCGTGGGTGACCATGTTGTTGTTTTTTTTTGTTGTTGTTGTTTTTGTGAGGAAGATCAGCCCTGAGCTAACATCCATGCTAATCCTCCTCTTTTTGCTGAGGAAGACCGGCTCTGAGCTAACATCTATTGCCAATCCTCCTTTTTTCCCCCAAATCCCCAGTAGATGTATGTCATAGTTGCACATCCTTCTAGTTGCTGTATGTGCGACGTGGCCTCAGCATGGCCGGAGAAGCAGTGCGTCAGTGTGCGCCCGGGATCCGAACCCGGGCCGCCAGTAGCGGAGCGAGTGCACTTAACTGCTAAGCCACAGGCCCGGCCCAGTGACCATGTTTTGGATCAGTGGATGATGGTCCTAAGTGTCCCTGAGATGTCACATGGTGGCATTTGCAGGATGCTGTCGTCATTTGGGGCACCCGAGACGGTCCTCTAGGGACACTGAGGGCTCTGGAGCTCAGTTTTCCTTCAGCTGCCCACGCCCAGCCACATGCGAGGTGCTGGGATCCAGGAGGGAGCTAGTCAGCCAAGCGTCCTGCCCTCATATGCTCATGTTCTAGAGGGAGACACCACACACCAGGAAAGAAATAGTCAGAGGAGTCATTGTGGCGTGAGATGAGGGGCTCCAGAGGAGACAGTGGGTCCTGGGACGCTGCTGGGCGAGGGGAGTTGCGTGGGCAGGCGGCCAGGGTGGCCCCCTGCACAGCTGATCTTGTCTAGGAACTGGAACAAGACCCGGTCACCATCTGCAGCACTGTGACATGTCCCCCCCGCCCCCAGGGAGACTCAAAGATGAAACATAAAGCTGAAGAAAGTGTGGCCACAGCTCATGGCTGCACTGCTGACTTACTGGGGCTAAACTTGTCATTTCCTCTTCTTCTGAACCTGGGACACCAGGTGACCCTTGGCCGTTTGAAAAACTGACTCTAAGATAAGGATTTGCTGGTATTGGGGCTGCTCAAAAGAATGCTCTAGTGGTTCCGAAGACGTCTCTAAGGCAACTTCCGGAAACCTTTGGAACAGTGGCAGCGGCTTTGGAATCAGCATGGCTTTCCACAGGGACCCTCAGCGGCCATTGGATTGCTCTGGTGTGGTTTGCTCATTTATGTCTGTGCGAGGGAAAGCGCCATCCCAGGATGAGGTACCCGGGCTGCGTTATCTCCATCTCAGCAAACAGATGTGTCTTCCTAAAGTCCCTCCAGCTGGGACTGCCTGTCACCATCTGCTCCTCGTGCTGCAGGCCGCTCCTCTTGAATGGAGTTCAGCTGTTCTGTCTTCCCCTCTCAGCCCTCCTTCCCGTTAACACAACACAGGGCACAGACGCTGGAAATGGGCGTCTGTTCTCGCTTCCCCTCTGAGCGCAGGCAGCCTCCCCGGCCAGGCGTGGGGCTCCAGGACGCGAGGCTGCGTTTTCAGAGCTCGGGACGTCCCTGTCCTCATCGTGGTCCCAGCCCCTGCCCACTGGGATGGTGGAATGATCTGGGGGTCGGGGAACAGATGTCTGGAGGGGTCTTTCTGTGTGTGACTATATACCGGCAAGAGGCATTCTTATAAATTGTGGGCTGGAAGAGGCTGATATATTTTTTAAATCCTCTTTATTTTTTTTCTGATTTTTAAAAATATGTGCTTTAAATCTGTGGGGAATGTATTAAATTAAGAATAGTTATACCTTATATAGTCTTTCTTTTTTCCTCTTTTACCAAAATCACTCCATCTCTAAAAGAAATTCACAACTAGTTGGGCCAGTTTCCATCTTGGCACTGGGAGCCACGAGAGGCAGCGTGGGCTCCGCGGCCTGTGTCTGAGGACAGGCGTTCCGCGTCTGTGCGTCTCCATGTGGCCATAAAATGCAGATCGGGGCCCAATAAATGAGCAGATAAACACACAGAGCTAACGAGAGATGTTTATTAGGCTCAGGCGAGCTGAGTCACTATCGTGCATCCATCCGTCCGTCCCCAAAGCTGGTTCCGTGTCAGCTGTCTTTGGGGCACCGTGCCTGGGAGCTCCCGTGGGCTTGGTTCTTTTTAGGCGTGTGTTCTCTTTCCGGATGAGGAGCACAGCACGACAGCGCCCCTTAAGCTGGACTGAATGAGCAGGAGCTTTGGGGCTCCGGCCCCATGCACCTTTCTGGTTCCCCTCATCTGCCTGTCCATGCAGGGAGGTGGGGCTCCCGGAGTGGGATTCTTCTGGACCTGGGGTGGAGACAGGACACAGCCTCCCCTCCACCACTGTTGTGCCCTCCGGATCCTCAGGTGCACCTTTGGTTTTCACATGCTGACGTCTCTCAAGTCAGGTGCGTTCTGCAGCCAGTGGCATCTGCTAGTTGGCTCGGCTGGAACTGAAGTCAGGTTCTTTACGGAGGAGTTGACCTTGGCCAGTGCCAGCCACCAGGGACGCTTACGTTCTCTGCCCGTGGTTCACAGCCTTGGGGAGACTGCTCCCCTCCCTCCACCCAGTGCCAGGGTCAGGATGGGCAGGTTTCTCTGGTCCCCTTTCCGTGCTGTGGGTTTATTCTTGTTTCCTTTACTCTGTGGACACAGCACTATTATCGTGCTCTCCAGCCTGGGTGTTTTCCCTTTGGGGTACACAAAAGAGCGGTACTGCCTACCACGCAGAGCAGGGGTCAGCAGACTTTTTCTGCAAAAGGCCAGAGAGTAAATATTTCCAGCTCCGTCACGATTATTTAATGCCGCTGTTATAGTGGGAAAGCACTGTAGACACTATGTAAACGAATGGGCGTGGCTGTGTTCCCGTCACACTTTCTTTACAAACGCAGGTGGCACGCCAGAGCTTGGCCTGCGGTCGTAGTTTGCTGATCTCTCCTAGAGCTTCTGAGGTTTAGTAAATGCCGTGTTTCCTTGAACCCAGCCCACGCCCAGCCACATGCGAGGTGCTGGGATCCAGGAGGGAACTAGTCAGCCAAGCGTCCTGCCCTTATATGCTCATATTCTAGAGGGAGACACCACACACCAGGAAAGAAATAGTCAGAGGAGTCATTGTGGCGTGAGATGAGGGGCTCCAGAGGAGACAGTGGGTCCTGGGACGCTGCTGGGCGAGGGGAGTTGCGTGGGCAGGCGGCCAGGGTGGCCCCCTGCACAGCTGATCTTGTCTAGGAACTGGAACAAGACCCGGTCACCATCTGCAGCACTGTGACATGTCCCCCCCGCCCCCAGGGAGACTCAAAGATGAAACATAAAGCTGAAGAAAGTGTGGCCACAGCTCATGGCTGCACTGCTGACTTACTGGGGCTAAACTTGTCATTTCCTCTTCTTCTTCTGAACGTTTTTCTCGTCTGTAAATTGGGGACAAGAGCGCCCATTTTGCTTTCATTGCCCTCGCTTCCCCTGGGTCATTGGTGCTGGTTCTTCACCTGGGCTCTCTGTGTCTCAGGACGAATCTGGGAACAGGGTGGAAGGCCCCCCAAATCCAGGCTCCCGCAGTCAGAGTGCAACGAGCGCAGCCAGGTCCATCTTTAGAGGGTGTCTTAAAGCTGCCACCAAGGGGTGCTGTGACCCCTTCTGACCTGTCCCAGTTTCCCATAGTGTCCTGGGTTAGCAGCTTCCAGCCATTCCCACCCTTTCTGGCCTTTGCTCAGGCCACCCATGGGGAGTCGCTGAGCTCAGGGCGCTCACTCCACCCTGCTGAACAGTCCTCTGGCCAGAGCCCCAGGTCAGAGTTAGCTAGGAGAAGCGAGTCCCCTTTGAAATGGTCTACTCTTTTGATTGATCTTGTTGCCACAGGAAGCTGTCGGGTGACCTGGTGTGTCTAGTTCAACAGGCACTGGGTCGGCCCCTCTGAGTGCCCAGCTCCTCCCTTCCGGGGCTAGCTGAGCACCCGTGATATTCCCTGTGGCTCCTGCAGGCTTCCCAGCCTCCCTGAACTTGGCTGCAACATCCTGCTCTGGGTGGCCCTTCTCCCCTAGGCCTGCTCTGCCACCCTGGCCATTGCCCTTGGGGACCCGAGGGGTGGGTGGGCGGCGCCAGGAGGTGCCCTGAGCTCGGTGGGGCTCGGCCAGGCTGGGCTACCTGGTGAGAAGGTGGGCAGTGCCTGCAGAAGGCCAGAACGCCCATCTCAGCTGCTCAAGCCCTGATCCCTCTGGCCCATGGGGCTTGCCACCCACAAGGGCTCCCTCTTCTTGGCTGTCAGCGCCCAAGAGCAGAGGTCGGTGGGGCTGCTTGGCGTAAGCCCTGCAGGGTGTTTATTTCCCCAGGCTCCTCCCCAGGACCCTCTCTCGTGCCCCCCGTCTGAACTGGCTCTGGTCAGAGCGGCGGGAGGACTGTCGGGCACGCCGGGGCGGGCAGGAAGCCAGGTACACCTCAGCGCCTGCTGCTGGGCCTCTCCCTGAATCGCCCCCTCGTGCGTGATTGTTGCAACGCTGTAATCCTGGAGCTGTGGGGGTCGTGGGCAGCCAGAGCAGGTGCCCCCTCGGCCTGGCCCTGGCACATGGTGCTCAGCCAGGGCCCTTCTTGTCCTCGTTTAGGGGCCTGGGTCGCAGGGTTGAGTGATGTGTCCTGGGGGACGGGAGCCATAACGCCCCACCCTGGAAGGACGGACGCTGAGGCTGCCGGGGCCACGTGGGGGCTGGTGGCCCAGGATGGCCCCATGCCATTCTTGGCGGGGGTGGAGGGGTCATGGGGTGGTGATGCACAGGCTTCACCAGGACTCAGGCTGAGGCTCATGGTTTTGTGATTCGTGCATTCATGCGCCTGCGCTTCCGAGTGCTTGAGAACACGTTTCTGACCGACCGACCTTTACTTCCCAAGGGACAAACAAACAAACCGACTGCTTATTGCTCTCAGTGTTCTTAGGCTTGGTCTGCCTCTCCGGGTGCCCTCCGTGGACTGAGGGACACGGTGCAGGGGCAGGCGGGCATGGATCAGGGGAGGATGCGGTGGGAGGAGGTGGAGGGCATTTCAGGGGCCGTGCCAGCTTCCAAAGCCAGACGGAAATTCCTCTGTATGCTTCTTTGGATGGATCCTACAGAAGCCCATGTTCTGATTTCCTATTTTTTTCCCTAAACAGTTGATAACAGCGAACCCTTTGTATTTTAAACACTCACCTGCCAAGTGGCAGCCTGGCCGTTTCTCAAGTGCCACCCCGAAAAGGAGTTCCAAGGGCAGATGGGGGAGGGGTCGGGAACACTGGGTTAAATCGCATACTGGACCTGTTTCCTCCGGGCCTTTGATACTCAGATATGCAGCGTTTCCCGCTCCCTTAGCCCCCTTTCTAGTGTCCTGTCCATGAGACACACTAGACACACTTTGGGAACGGGGCCTTAGGTACTGGGAATATGATATGATATGGAGCGATACTATGAGATGGTAGCAGAGGTAGGTTCGTTAAGCCAGTCATTTCTAAATGGAAAGAAAAACTGAAACAGGAGCCCAGACTGGGCATGTGTTCGTCCACGGTGTAGTGTCTCCTTGGGGTTGGGGTGCCCAGCTTACTAGGGCACCAGGCGGCGGCTGCTGGACGCCGAGCCCAAGGCCGCCGTGGCCCGTGGCTGGGGTGGTGCTGCCCCCTGGTGTCAGCTGGTGGAGTCACCATCCCTGCTTTCAGCTTTTAACTCTGGCTCCTTCCCGTCTTTGCTTTTTCAGACCGTGAGTCCATCTTCTTCAACAGCCACAACGTGTCGAAGCCAGAGTCATCATCCGTCCTGACCGAGGTATGTCCCTCCGCCGTGGCGGCCTGGCTGAGGCTGCCCTCACCTGGGCCTGGGCACGGAGGTGCTGTTGGCTGTGGGGCCCAGGGTTGAGCTCTCCATCGGGCAGGGTGGAGGGACCTTTGCGCCCATGCCAGGGGCCTGGGGAAGCTCCCAAGACCCCTCTTTCCTGCTTGCTTCGGGCCTTCATGCTGATGGCCGTCATAGCTACTCCTGCTCACCGCTGGGTCCTTTAGATGGAGGATTTTCTGACTCTTCTCCCAGCATGAGGAAATCCCCCCAATCGTGAGGAATTTGGAGACTTGCTTTCTAATCTGCCTTTCTCCTGGTTAAAAAAAGGAGGGCTGGCCCGGTGGCGCAGTGGTTGAGTGCGCGCGCTCCGCTGTGGCGTCCCGGGGTTCACAGGTTCGGATCCTGGGCGCGCACTGATGCACTACTTGTCGAGCCATGCTGTGGCGGCGTCCCATATAAAGTAGAGGAAGATGGGCATGGATGTTAGCTCAGGGCCAGTCTTCCTCAGCAAAAAGAGGAGGATTGGCATGGATGTTAGCTCAGGGCTAGTCTTCCCCACAAAAAAAAAGGGGGTTGGGGGGTGAGGGGCAACACCACTTCGATTTTTCTTTTCCTTTCCTTGTCATGTGAGTCCAGTAAATGTTTGCTAAGAGCCTGTGCTGCTTCGGGTGCTGGGGTGGTTCATGTGGGTGGGGGGCTCAGGGCTGCTGTTCCATGAACGCTGCTGTGTGTCAGGCTCCGTCCTAGATGACCCGAGGCATCACAGCCAGGCCTCAAAACAGCCTTGCAGGGGCGGGGCGCACAGCTCCACTTTCCCGAGGGGGAAGGCTGTGCTCAGCGAGCTTAGGAATTTCTCCAGACTCACAGGGCTGTTTATTCAGGGGCAGAGCTGGGATTTGACCCCAGATCTGTCTGACTCCAAAGCTGCATCTTCCAGGAGTTGAGGACTTCGTATCTCGCTGGCGACTGCAGAGCAACCGTTGCCTAGAGCAGACAGTTTGAAATTGCCATGAGGCCAGCGCCTGCCATCCTTCCCGAGTCTAGCAAGCCAGCGGCCTCTGCCCCCACTTTCTCTGAACTTGGAGCCCCATGCCAAGTCTTCTGCTCCCGTGTCACGGCCATCCTGGCTATTCTGGCAGGCTTTGCCTGTGTCCCACCTCCCTGTGCTGAGCCAGTCTCACCAACAAAATCCATAGCAGACCCCCACTCCCCAGGGCTCACTCCCCTCCGTTCAGCATCAGGGGTCTGCACTTGCCATATTACCTCCTGCCCCTGACCCAGGCTGCCTGTCCGTTTATTGTTTGTTTCTGGGTCCTTTGAGGAGGAGCCAGCTGTGTGCTAAGGGTGGACAGGGAGCTGGAGGGAACACCAGCGCCCCTCAAGATGTTGGTGGACGTTCCCCAGGAGCAAGTTCCATGGTCAAGGAAGCGTGGGGAACAGCCAGATTTCAAAGAAAACCTCTTGCCACCTGGCTGTGTGTACTGCAAGATGTGAACACCTGTGCAAGAGGAGGTTTTCTGGCCTTCTAAGCTCCAGAAACTTGAGGCTAGCCCGGTTCCACAGGGCTCCTTCCCTGCGAGCCTCTTGGATCTCGTTCAGGAGGGAGTGGGCATTCCACAGACTTGCCGAGAAGCTGTGCCTGCTGGCCCCTTGCCCAGTGTGGGGCTAGTGGCCATTGGGGCTATTAACTGATGCCACAGGGTCCCTGTGAGGACTGTAAGCAGTGACCCACTGAAGGTGAACTTGGATGGTCACCTGTCTTCATCTGTAAAATGGGAAAGGGTCCGCCTAGGCGTACTTTCGGGGCCTTCTGTCCACCTGCTGCTGTTGTCTCCTTCCCTGAGGGCGTCAGTCCCCCAGGACTGACAACATGTACAAATAGAAAAGGGAAATGCAGTCAGCTGTCCCTTTTCTATTCAGGACATAAGCCCCTCCTGCATGCCCGCAGGCCGGCCTGGCACAGACAACTCTGTTCCAGACATGCCGCTTGTCATCCTGCTGCCCACTGGGGTCCCTCCAGTCCCCATCTCACCTCCTGTGGGAAGCCCTGCTCTGGCCTTGAAGCCCAGCCTCCCTCCGCAGCTGGATGCCCCTGAAGGTGGACCCAGCTCCCACACTCAACTGGTAGGCCCCCAAACACTGGTACAGGGTATTGGATCCTGACGAGGCTGCCTGGGGTTAGACCCAAGCTCCACAACATTCCAGCTGGGTGGCCTTAGGAGAGTTACCTTGCCTGTCTGAGCCTCGGTTTCCCCATCCTGCCCCATAGGGCAGTCATGGGATTCAGGGAGTTACTAGATGAAGAGGGCCCACGACTGAGCAAGGTGTGCAGTCGTCAGTGTCGGCTGTGAGGGGCAATGAGGGGACCTGGGGGATCCACGTGAACACCTCTCACCTCCATCACCTCCTCGTTTTCCAGAACATCATCGTATCCTTTGTGTTTGCAACCCACGGGCAGGATTTCCAGGCCTTTATCTTGTCCTAGGATGGCTGTTTGGTTTGAGATAATCAAATGTCTTCAGAAGGATTTCTGAGATTCCTCGGCTGAGCTGAGAAAGTGCTTTTATAAACAGTGGTCACGAGACTTTGCAACAAGGCAGCACCCTTGCTGCCAGGCCTGGGCTGCGAGCCTTAAGCCTCAGCCTCTTAGATCCTCGCCACGGTCCACAGTGTAGGGGTTTTGTTCCCCCGTTTATTGGGGTGAGAAAACAAGGCCCCGAAGGGTACATTCAGGGCACGCACAGGGAAATGGGCAGCGCGGAGGGGTCGCCCAGGTCTTGGACACGGGGAGGGCTCTGGGCCGCAGGACCTGTGGCCGAGCTGCTGTGTTGGGCAGAGCCTCTGACCTGTCACTGGTGAGAGTGACTGAGAGGCAGGCGCCTGCCCAGGCTCAGGCAGGTGCCAAGTGACAAGCACCTGTCACTTAGACACTGCCCCTTGGAAAGCATGTTCTCCCTGATAAGACGCCAGGGCAGCGGGCTCGTGGGCACGGGGGACCCGTCTGTTGTGCAGAGCCAGTGGGGGTGGCCCGGGAGTGGGCTCACTGCTCTGCAAGGAAGTGTCTGGAAGTTCCCCGTTGGCCACTGCAGCGTCCTGTGCTGGGTCGGCCCTTTGTCCTTGGTGCCCAGGGCTCTGACCCTGGCCCTCTTAACCCAGCCTCACTTTTTTAAAAAATTGAGCTGAAATTCACATAACATACAATTAGCCGTTTTAAAGAAAACAGGTCAGTGGCATTTAGTACATTTACTATGTTGTACAGTCGCCGCCACCATCCAGTTCCAAACATTTTCATCACCTCAAGAGAAAACCCCGTACCGGTTGAACACACACACGCTCCCTACTCACCCTTCCTCCCAGCCCCCTGGCAACTGCTGACCTGCTCTGTGTCTCGATGGATTTACCTATTCTGGACCTTTCATGTTGACAGAATCATACCATAGCTGACCCGTCGTGTCTGACTTCTTTCACTTAGCCTAATGTTTTCAAGATTTGCCCACCTTGTAGTATTGTCTGGCTGGATAATAGTCCATTGTGTGGATAACACAATTTGTCCATTCGTCTGTGATGGACATTTGGGTTGTTTCTACCTCCTGCCTGGTGTGAATAATGCTGCTATGAACATGGTGTACAGGTACCTCTTTTCAATCTTTGGGGCACATACCTCGGAGTGGAATTGCTGGTCATATGGTAATTTTATGTTTGACTTTTTGACCCAGCTTCATTTTAATTCTGATGGGTCAGCTCCGAGCTTCCCCTTTGGCCCCTGAGCCCACACCCTCAGGACTCAATGTTTATTGAGCACCGGCTGTGAGCTGTGTCTTAGCTGACTTAGAGGGGACACGGTGCTGTCCCTGCCTGAGGATGCAGGTGGAGCGCCTCCGCCCAGATGGGCACATGCTGTCCCCCCACGTCAGTGACCTCATGGCTCCTCCCAGTGGTCTAGGATGGAGGCCTTGTTGGTCCCGTTTTGCAGATAAGCAAACTGAGGCACAGAGAGGCCAAGTACTTTTCCCTAAGACCACGGAGCTAGGAAGTCACCGTTAGGGTTCGAATCCAGATCCCTCTGACTCCAATCCTTCCCAGGGCAACGTTCCACTTCCTTGGAGGCCCTGGCCAGAGGCCAAGCTTGAGCCCAGGGAGACTTGTGTGCCTGTTCCAAGAGGGGGGAGTCCAGGGCAGGATGGGGGAACTGTGGGCTGGGGCGGCCCCACCAGCCTGTGCAGGCTTTGCTGAAAGCTGAGCTTGGACCCCCGGAGCTGGGCGGGAGCAGCAGAGTAGCCTCCTTGGGGAGCCTGTTTGCGTGGGTTGTTAGTGTGGAAACCCTGTAGTTAGCCGCTCGTTGGGAAGGGGAGATTGGTGAGCCCCGCCCAGGAGCCCTGTGACCCCACCCAGTGCCAGGCAGTAAATGAAGGCCAGTCCACGGGACCCTCCACCCCGTGGCCTCGAGGCTCTGGCGATGATGGGCAAATGCAATGATGTTGACAAAGCTCCCTCACTGCTCACCTCTGTCCTGACCGCCCCAGCGGCTCCCAGCTCTCTCCTGCGGGTTCTTGCCTCTGTGCCTTTGCCTCCACTGTGCCTTCGCCCGGTGCCTCTCTCCTCCCATCCCTGCCCAAATCCTCCCCTCCTTCAAGGTCCAGCTCATGCTCTCTGCCCCACAAAGTCTCCCCATGTTCACAACAGACTCTTCATCTCCTTCCTCCCTGCTACGAGGGTTGGGTTTTCGAGGCTGGGTACAAATCCAGCCCTGTGCTTTTGAGCTGTGCGACCCTGAACTAGCCCCTGACCCTCTCTGAGCTTCAGCCTCCTGTGTGAAATGCTGACAGTGACGCCCGCCTCCCAGATTGTTATGAGGCCTAGAGAGGTATCACACATAATACACCTGGTACCTGTCCGGCCCTCGGCAGGACTTGGGAAATGCCCTCCTAGTGCTGACTGCTGGGGGTCCCTCCTGCCCCCTTGCCGAGGGTAAGGCCCTCGCTCGGGGGTCTCTGTGCGTGGCGTGGCATTGCGCCTCCCCACCCACAGCCTCACTCCTGCGCGTGTGTCAACAGCTGGACAAGATCGAGGGCGTGTTCGAGCGGCCGAGCGACGAGGTCATCCGGGAGCTCTCCAGGGCCCTGCGGCAGGCGCTGGGCGTGTCGCTGTTTGGGATCGACATCATCATCAACAACCAGACGGGCCAGCACGCGGTCATCGACATCAACGCCTTCCCAGGTGAGTGAGGGGCGGGGCCGGCGAGTCAGGTTGACCAGCTCCATCCGTCCGTCGCTGTGGGGTGGGTGCAGCCCTCGGGGGGCCTCAGCCCTGCCTGCAGGATGGGTTTACAGGGTGTGGGGAGAAGCGAACTAGGTCCGTCTGCACATCCAGCCAGGGAGAGCGCCGGGCGCGTAGTGGGCCCGCACTGAACGTGTTCTTTCACCTTCTCCTGACCCCGCGCCTCAGCGTTAGCCTGCATCAGCCAAGTCTCACTGATCCCTTGGGACCTTGTAGATTTCAAGAGCGGAAGAGGCCCCTAGAGAGGGGGAAAGCGTCCCAGGTCACACTGCAGTTGGTGGCAGGGCCGTGCTCCTTCCCCCGCCCTGAGCCACCCTGAGCACAGTGCTGGGGACAGGCCCTGGAGTCAGCCAGCTCCCGGTGGCTGCGGGCCTGCTCCTTGCTGTCTGCCGGAGCCCTGGGGCAGGAAGCACATGCCGGCCCACGGGGCTCTCGTCTCAGCGAGGGGCTCACGGGAGATACCAGCCTAAGAACCTCAACAGGACCGTCCACCGCAGTGGCGATGGCCGCGACATCCCTGGCTGGCATTCCCCAGGCTGAGCCCGCCTTACACAGGAGCACACTGGGGCTGTGGCTCCTCCGCCCTCACGGCAGGTTGGAGGCAGAGTCGAGCTTGGTCCCACCGGCCCCAGAACAGCCTGGGCGCCTGTCCGCTCTGCGGGCACCTCTGCCTCGAGGCCTTGACTCTCGCCATTTTTTTTTTTTTTTTAAAGATTTTATTTATTTATTTTTCCCCCAAAGCCCCAGCAGATAGTTGTCTGTCATAGCTGCACATCCTTCTAGTTGCTGTATGTGGGACGCGGCCTCAGCATGGCCAGAGGAGCGGTGCGTCGGTGCGCACCCGGGATCCGAACCCGGGCCGCCGGCAGCACAGCACGCGCACTTATCCGCCAAGCCACGGGGCCGGCCCTTGACTCTCACCTTGATTAGGTAGCTGCTGTGGAAGGAAAGAGCCAGCTGCTCAGGGGGTGTACCAACCAGCAGGAATCGATTCCTACCCTCAGCGAGGTTAGCATCCCGGGAGAGCCTGTGCCCCGCGTGGGGACTGGTGGGGACTGATGGGGACTGCTCAAGGGCGTTCGCAGGTGGTGGGGAAGCCCTGGTGCTCGGGCAGTGCTCACAGGGTACCAGGCCCTGGGCTGGGTGCTTGCCGTGTGTCCCCCCAACACTCAGAGAGCACGCGAGCCAGGCCCAGCCAGCACCACAGTGCACAGCTGAGGAGACCGAGGCTCGGAGAGGCCACTGGGTCCTTCAGTCATTCAGCTGACATTTATCAAGGGCCCACTACATGTCCCAGCTGGTCCAGACACTGGGTGCAGCATGAGCACGGCTGCCGGAGCCCTGTCCTCAGAGAGAGGACGGGTGCCCAGGGGCTCCTCGGTGAGGCGGTGACACAGGAGCAGAGCCCAGCAAGAAGGGAAGGGGCCCCGCCCCAACTCCCCTTGGGGTCCCGGGCAGGATGGAGTAGAGACCTGTGGCCTCGGGTCCTGGTGTACGGCTGAGCAGCAGGGAGGGGCCGGGACGAGGAGGTCAGAGAGGAGCCCGCTGCATATGTGGAGAGAACAAGAGTTTCACTCTGAGCGGGACAGGAGTGCGGGCGGAGGTCTGTGTTCCTGAATAGAAAGTCAGACCCGCTGGGACCGTGGTCTGTTTTTCCCGTCACCCTGGTGCAGCCTGGATGGAGAGCTGGGTTTTGCCCGAGGTGGAGTTTGATGAGCAGTGTGACGGAATGAGAGAGAGCAAGGGAATTGAGGGCATGTCAGGAGAACCATTATAATAAATGGGAGGATCTAAACCAGGCAGGATGTGGGGACAGCAAAGAAATGGTGGCCGAGTCAGCAGACTGGAAGGACAGGGAGTGGGCAGTGCTGGGCTGTTGGGGTAGACGCTCTAGAAGGAGGGAGATAGGAGGTGGGGAGAGCAGGAACTCTGCAGCTGAGCTCCAGATTTGTGCAGGGTCCTGAGTCGGCCCCTCCCAGCGCTAACAGCTGTGTGTGATTTTGGCCCGGTGGGTGTCAGGAGGGCGTCTTGGGTGTTCAGAGGAGGGACAGTCACTGTGAGCCAGCGAGGATGGGAGGCTTCTTCCAGGGAAGCCAAGAGAAGAGCCAGCCAGGATCGGGCATGGAAGGGGGTCTGAAGCTGCCTGGAGTGACAAGGCTGAGCCCAGCCGATGTTGAGGGAAGGCCCGAGGGGAGCATGTGTGGCCCAGGGGCCCCTGAGGATCGGTGTCCAGGAGACGGTTGCCAGGGGGCCAGGGCGGCAGCTGCTCCCTGGTCTTGCCCTCGTTGGTTCGGAGCCTGGGTCTAGAGCACTCGTGGGCCTGACCTGAGGAGGGGGCCTGCACCCCAGGGGAGGTATCCCAGGCCTGGGTGTCTGGCAGCACCCCCATCAGAGGGGTTATGTGCTGGGCTCGGGGAGGTCATCACAGCAGTAGCTGTGGGTGGTATTGACCCCCCGCACACCGAGCCCATCCCGTGATGATCCCCCACACGCCAGGCCCGTCCTGTGATGACCCCCCGCATGCCAGGCCCATCCTGCGAGCTTTATTCGCAACGTCTCATTTCGTCCTCGAAACAAGACTGCGTGCAAAGGACTATTAGGATCTCCATTTACTGCTGGGGACATGGAGGCTGGGGCCAGGTGGCTTGTCCAAGGTCACATGCCTACCAAGTGGTAGAGCTGGGATTGGGGCCCTGCTCTCTTGACCACGAGGCTTCCTGCCTCTCAGCTTGAGCCGTGGGTTCAAATCCTGGCTCTGCCTCTACAGTCTGTGATGAGACAAGCCACTTCATGGAGCAGTCTCAGTGTTCACTTCTGCACAGTGGGAACAATGCTCCCCACCTTGCAGAGACAGAGGAAGTGGCGTTTGCACAGTGCCTGGCCCCAGCCAGCGCTCGGTGGTGCTAGTTCACGCCTCAGTCTGCTCTCCCCAGACCAACGTAGAGCTGGGGGCCCGGAGCAGCCTGCACGGCTTCCGGCCAGGTCGAGCACACCGAGGGGCCTTCCCTGGCCTTCTGTCCACCCTCAGGCCCTCTTACCACTCCAGCAAGCGCACGCACCCCGCCCCGAGCCTCCTGGGCCTCATCTGCAGACCACAGAACGGTTGCTGAGGGAACGGCTTCTGTTCCCTGGTGATCTCCAGCTCTCCGCTTCCTGCTTGCGTCTCTCCCTGGAAACCCAGCAGCACACCTGCTGGTGGCTCTCAGGGGGCCGGCTCCACCCTGCCCCCCACCCAGCCCCAGGGCTGAAAAGCCCCAGTCCTAGGGCGGGGCGCCAGCACCACATGATATTCAAGGCACAGATGACACCAAAGGGCCTGGTTCAGATCCCAGCACTGCCACTTAGGAGCTTCGTGTCCTCATCTGTACAGTAGGGTAATCCTAGGGCCCCTCTCCCGGGGCAGCGAGGATGCCACGAGCGAGGAGTGGGAAGCACGCGGGCTGGCGCTCCGTAATTCTGGATGAGCACCAGCGCGGCCGCCATCACTGTCTTCACCCTGGTGGTGAACAGGCACGCGTCCACCTGTTGGCGGTTCTTGTTGTCTCTGGGGCTGGTTCCTTCCCTCTCCGTGCCTGTCTCCCTTCTGTGAAACGGGGATGGTTGTGAAGATGAAGCGAGGGGATGGTGTGCACATGGAGCCCTGTGCACGCCAGCTGTTTCACCCATTTTTATTTTTGCTGTGGGCACCTCTGCTTCCCCCCTCGGCCTCGGGCTCCTTAAACTACGGCAGTTGTCTGCTGAACAAACAGGCAGCCCCACCACCCGGCACCGGGTGGGCTTCTCTGTAAACGGTAATGCCCTGCGACCATCTCCGAACCTTGCTTCTCACCCATCTGGTGCTGGGGGCTGTGAAGACCACCCCAGAGGACGTGCGAGGGTCTCAGTAACCTCTGGGCACCAGGCCTGTGTCGCTGGTGCGGATCACATCTGGGGGAGTCAGGGCTCGGAGCCCCTCCCCAGGCAGGCACGCTGTTCCTTTGCGGGGTCGTGCTCCCTGTCCTGCTCCCTGTTCCTGCAGCTGTGTGCCCGGTTCTCTTCCCCCAACATTGGTTCAGGCAGGCGGGGCAGCCACTCCCCATCGAATTTCTTTTGAAGCTGTTTTCTGGGAGTCAACAGAATCCCCGCCCTGGATCCTGCTCGGTGGCTCCTGAGGACTTGTTGGCTGACTGACGTTCGCATCTGCCGTGGGAAATGCGGGCCCCAGGCAGGCACCGACAGCTTCTGTTGGGGGGGTTTGCCTTGTGGGGGTGCCCCGTCTCTGTCCCTTGGCTTTGATGCTCAGAGCATGTGGCACAGAGGGCCTACTTGTGGGTATTTTCGGGGTAGGAGGAAGGAGACTCAATTCGAGGAGCAGCTGCTGTCGATCAGGCATCACCCACATGCCAGCCCCTCTCGGTGGGGTGTGTCCACAGGAGCGCCCCACTGGAAGTTCTCAGTTTACACATGAGGAAGCGGAGGCCGGACCACATGGAGGCGAGGGGGTGTTTGTGGTTCAGAACATGGGGTGGGCCTGCGGTGCTGCCACCTCCAGCCATGCCACGTCCCCCGCGATGGCGTCTTACCACGTTGGGGGGTGATTAAATGAGACGCTGAAGCTGTGTGGAGGGGCAGGGCCGCAGGGTGTCGTCTCGTGGGCTCCGGTTCTGCTGCCTCTCACACCCCGGGGGCAGCGAGTTCAAGGACCAGCCCTCCGGGTCACACGCACCGGCTGAGTCCAGGCTGTGTGACTTCGATCAGCCCCCTTAGCTACTGAGCCTCGGTTTTCTCTGTAAATGAGATCCTGAAGGTGCCCCCCTTAGGTCCCGTGAGCCCCCTAGTCCCCCTGCACCCTGGCTCTACCCGGCCTGGCTAAGTGCTCGTGCTCTCTGTCTCTCCCTCCCCCAGGCTACGAGGGCGTGAGCGAGTTCTTCACGGACCTCCTGAACCACATCGCCACCGTCCTGCAGGGCCAGAGCGCAGCCACGGCAGGCGCGGGGGACGCGGCCCCGCTGAGGCACAGCAGGCTCCTGGCGGAGCAGGCGGGCAGCCTGGCGGGCGAGCGGACGTGCAGCGCCAGCCCCGGCTGCTGCAGCAGCGTGCTGCGCCAGGACCCCCCCTGGACGGCCGAGGCCGACGCGGGCGGCACCGCCAAGCTACCGCACCAGAGACTCGGCTGCACCGCCGCCGTGTCGCCCAGCTTCCAGCAGCATTGCGTGGCCTCGCTGGCCACCAAGGCCTCCTCCCAGTAGCCAGGGAGCCCGGGACCCAGAGGGGCGGCGCGGGCCGCGGAGCACACCTGCTGGGCGAGCGGCTCCCAATGGTGACGCTACTAAGAGTTCCCAACAATCTGATTCTCCTTCTTTTTTTTAATTTTTAACCTGATTTTCTGATGTCACAATCTAAATAAGGGGGGAGAGGGGATGGAAAAGAACTCCAAGTGGTCCAGCCTCGTGGAAAAGGGCCATCCCGCCTGACTGCTGCCGTGCAGGTCTCGTCAGAGTCTACACTCGCTGTGTGTTTAACACTAGGTCTGAATGTGAGGTGGGGTGCGTGTGTGCAAGTGCGTGGGCACGTCCATGTCCACGTCTGTTCGTCTCGATGGCTGCTGGGGACCAGGCCTCGGGCACCCTGGAGGGGGCTGCCCCCCCGGTCAGGCTGTTGGCAGCTGAACAGAGAGAGTCAGCGGTGCCCCATGTCTGTGTTCTCTGAGCCCCCACTCCCAGCCCGGCCCCTTCTCCGTTTCCCCTCCTGCTGGTCTCCCCCGCAGCTCTGTGAGGAGCAGGCCTAAACCCGCACCAGAGGTGCCACTGGCCCCTCCCGAAAGTGTGAGCCAGAGGGGGCGAGAAGCTGCAGCTACTGTTTCCCTGGGGGAGTCCCTGCAGGGGGACTGGGCGGTGGTCTGCCCGCTGCCTGCTCATGGAAGGGAAGAAGGAAGCTTCCCTGGGGAGGAGCCCAGGGTTGTGGGTTGGCCACCTCTCTCTATGTCTAGCTCCCTGGAGTCTACCAGGCCCCTCAGCAAGTGCCCCGTGCAGCCCTGCGAGGGGACTCCTTCCCTGACCAAGCGCTGCTGCTCCCTGGGCCCTGGGAGGGGGCTGCCTGGCTGGGAGCCCCCAGGCTGATCCCGCCTGTGCCAAGGATTTGTGCCGTGACTTTGTGCAGATCATTCCGAGAGTCGTCAGGCTTCCGTGTCCGCGTCTCTGACGGGCAGTCAAGACCAGAGAACTCTGAAGGGCGGGCTTGATGCCATCACCCCCGCGATGCGGCCTGCTTCTCCTCGAAGTCAACCCGGACGAGCTCTCCGGGTCTCCGGGGCGATTTGGGGCCCTCTTCCCGGGCCGGAGGAGGCTTCCCATACGATTCACTCCTGTTCACAGCTGCCCGGCCCCTTCTGCCCAGTGGGCTAATCCACCCCGTCTGTATTCACAGCAGGCCCCAAACACTGAGCCAGCCAGGTACGAGGGGGCTGTGGCCCCGGAGGTGAGAAAACACGTACACACCCCGCCCCCCGCCCGCCATTAGACTCACCCCAGCCTCTAATGGCAGCAGACAGACCACCAGCTGATGGGTCAGATCCTGAGGTCCGGGTGGACCAGAAGCCCCCTCTGCAGAGAAGGGGGCACATGAGGGACTTTGTCAATCCTCGGACAGTGTGAACACTGGCGAGATGCCTAGGATCCCTGAGCATGATCTTGTGTCTTAAGGTATCAATTCACTTTGAAAAAGAGGAAAACACCTCTGGGCTGCTCTGCGTGTCCAGGGAGGATGGCCTGAGAGAGGCCACTGAGCTGGGTGCTGGCTCAGCGGGAGTGTGTGGGTCACTCACCTTTGGGAGAGGAAGGGCTAGGGTGGTGACCATCGCGAAGCGGGGCTGAGCCTGCGGTGTGGGGCGGATGCCATCAGAACTGCCCGGCTGTCCTGGAAACCGAGGGCCTGCCGACTAACCGCGTTTACACAACTTGAGTTGAACCCCAATGATAATGTCTGTACCTCGCCTTTCCTGGTCTAACCTGAGCCCCGGGGAAGCAGGAAATCATGGCCAGCCTCTTGCACTGCTTTGTCTCCAAAATAAACTACTGAAATCAAACTGCATTTCACACGTGTTTACAGAACGTTGCTAAAGTTTGTCGTTCTCCCAGTCTTCTGATAAAATAGCTTTACCTTTTTGAATAAAATGCCAATTCCGATCTGCCTCAAGGGCAGGTGGCGAGTGCAGTGTGACCCCCGACACCAGGCTGGGGCCTTGGCTGGATCATGTTCCTGTATAGTTTATGTCAGCTCTCGGGGTCACACATGTTAGCGTCCAGGGCCTAGATATCAGGTAACTGTTTTCCGGTGACATGGCGTTTTCCACTCGCCTCGATGCGGGTGGCGGGCAGGGTAATTGCTTTTTTTGAGAGTGGAAACCGAGGGGGGAGTCTAGCTGCATAAAGGCCTGGGAGCTGCAGTGTGATGGGGAAGGGACCAGCCTGCACTCCAGGCCGTGTGCAGGCCTCTCCTCCCCACCCTGCCCGGGGCTGGGGGTCACCGTCCAGCAAACTCAGCTGCCATCTCTGAAGGGGTTTAGGGGTCATAGATGAGCACAGGGACTGGGCAGCGATGAGGCACCAACCCCCCCTTGCAGTGGGCCTCGAGACGAGTGACCCCTCTCACAATGTCACCTGGGTGCACGCTGACCTGTTTGGGCCCGGGATACCATCCATAGAGTTGGTTTCCCCTCAGGCCTCATTGCCTCTGGCCTTGTGTTCCTGTAGCAGGGAAGGACAGACTCACTAAAACACGCTTGGCCTTTGCAGCCTCTTCTTCCCCAGGGCCTGGTGGTGCTGCCTCCGGAACGGAGTTTCTGGAACCTTTGAGGGCCCGTGGGAAGGGTCTGCTGCGGTGTGCAGGTGTGGTACCCAGAGTCGGCCCTGCCAGCATCCTGGGGGGAGTTGGGACTCTCATTCCCAAGCTTCTCTTTGCCAGTTGGTGGCCATGTTGGGGTCTGTGGCCCTGCTGCATCTGTCTTGAGGTCAGTGGCCAGGGCTACTGAAGGCACTCCTGACTTCAAGGGCTCCAGGAGCAAGTGGCAGGGTCACATTTTGGCTGAGGCCTTGGGTGGGTTCAGAGGGTCGCTTGCAAGGTCTCTGTCCTGGGCAACCTGGAGCAGAGGCCTTGGGCCGGGCTCGGCTTGCGGATGCTTTGATTATGTAGTGATGCAGTTCCACACGCTGAGCCCCCCGAGTGCAGGTGCTGGGTGTCTCCTCACCAGAGAGCCCAGGGGTGTCTCCCGCTGTAGGGTCCTTGCCGTCAGCATCGTGGAGGGATCTGGGTTTACAGTGCATGGGTCGGACTGGACCTGAAGCTGCCCAGCCTCGCCTGCAGAAGGCAGACCCAGCTCAAGTCCCCGAGGAGTTAAATGGGGCTTCCTTTAAGTGGGCCTGCCTGCATCTTTAATCCTATCAATGAAGGAGAAAACAGTCTTGAAAACGAATTCCTCTCTGCTCAGAAGACTGCCAAGTGGGCTTTATGGAATGTTGGAAGGCCCTGGCAGGAAGCTGTAGTTTTCAAGCCATCTGGGAAAAGCAGCTGCTGTCTGCCAGGCGGCCACTCTGAGACGAAGGGAGACTGCATGTCCTTGTCCCAGCCTGGAAGACTGGTCCTTGCTATGGGCACTCACACAGAGCCGTTGAATGGCCTCACTGATGTCCCTGGGGTTTGCATCTGCCCTCTGCTCTCTCCCCTAGAAACCGATCATTCACCTGTGGGATCCTTGACATCTCCTCCCCCTTCTCAGGCCACAACTCAAGGGCCCCTGAGCTCCAGTGACCTTGAGCTGGGAGCTGGCTGTCCTGAAGGGGCGTGGCCCCTCCACCATGGCTTACCATGAGGCAGAGAAGAGCACTGATCCTTGACAAAGGTTCTGGGCTTATCCCTCTGGGTCAGCCTGGCCAGCCCTGATGCCACACATCCGCCCTGCCTGAGCCTGAGCCTGAGATGTCGTGGCCGAGGCCTCTGGACAGGCAATTCTCCCATGGGTCCTGCCCTCCGCCACAGAAGGTCTGTGCCTCTGCCCCTTCTCTCTGCTCAGCATTGCCGTTGTGATCATGGAATGACCCCCCACACACACACTGTTGAGAGGAGAGCTGACTATTAGCATGGAACAACCTGAACCCTCTTCCTCTGGTTCTGACCACCAGGCCCCCCGCAGACCCTCTGAGGCCTTTTCCAGAAATGGTTGCATTTCCGTTTACTTCCAGAGTTGTCCATGACCTGGTGGCTTGGAGGGACTGTCCCTTTCCACAGCCTGACTGGCCTCTTCCAGGGCTGTGTGGGATCACACGCTCTGGAGCTTGCTCTCTCTTTAAAAGATGCTCGCGTGGTGATGTCACCAAGACGCTGGCGTCCCAGCTTGAATGCTGACACCTGTGCTTTGTGACAAATGCAATTTGCTTCAGTCCTGTTCACGAGCAGCGTTTACCAGAACCCCAAGCTGGCTTGTATTTAATTTGTGTACATATACATAATGTTTATATGAATATATATGTATACTATGTATAAAATCACAGCTTCTGTGAAAACCAAGAACCTCCGTCCACTGGCTCTTTTGATTTGGTTGTGTTTGCTCCCTGTGATTATGACAACGTGGGTGGCCCGTCCTTGGGGTGGGTTATTTCAGGGACAAGGTGTCCCGTGTTCTCTTTATTGGCTGATCAGTCTTGGTGGCGGGTGTTCTGGTAGCTGACCAACTGGTGGAGTACAGCAGTGTTGTGTGTGTTATTTCTGTGACCGTTTGGGGTGGAATGCAAACCTGTCTCTCTGAAACGTGAAGAAATAAACACCTTATGGCACCAGCTCCTTCTGGAGGGTGTCCCTCTATGCTTCAGGGGACGGGCAGCAGCAGCAGCAGTGGGCAGCCCCCCCCACCTGCCTCATAGGAGAGGCCCAGACTTGCCAAGACCCCTCAAACGACTCATATCATCATCGTCATGGTTTTCTGGTCCAGGCTGTCTGGGCCCCCCAAATCCTAACCACGATCTGGTGAGGAGGTAATAAGTGTCATCCCTCTTCTGTAGATGAGGAAACTGAGGTTCTGAGAGGCTCAAGAACGCTAACCTGAGCTCTCCAGCTAGGCTGGGGATTCTAACTCCAGTCTGACGTCAAAACCCACGTACTCTGGGCAGTGGGCTTCTTGAAGTCAGGGCTGGCTATTTCTGCATGCCCAGGCCTGTGGGCACAAAGCAGCCACTCACAAATGTTTGATGAACAACTGAATGAATGACGGTGATATTCAGCTGGTCCACACCTGTCCAGCGCACCAGCCTGGTCCATTCTGATTGCATAATTCTGCAGTCCCCATGGTACACTGTTTTGGGCATCACCCTGCCTGTGAC